GTAAAGCATGTGAGTCCTTTTGACACCTCTGCATTGAGGGAATAATTTAACTCCTTTTTTATTTTATTTTTTTATTTAAACAACTTTGGTCCTCCACAGGTAAAGTTTTTACCCATGACACAAAATGAGCTAGCACTAGAAAAAACATCCTTCCAATGCCTTTTTTTAAGGATTTTAATTTTACAACCAGGCAGCTCTCAGCTGGATGTGTGCAGTTACATGTTTCCAACTGTGTAGATCTCTGCCTTTAATTCTCTGACTTACTCTTTGTCTATTCAAACTAAAATCATGTTATTCTCAGTAGAAAACTTACTGAATATACAGTATTATCTTATCAAAAATATTTCTCTCTTACATATAGTGATACTGTTCTCAGCTGTATGCATAAAGGAGAGGTGTGGTATACATTTGCACAAATTTAAATGTTTGTCTAATTCAACTCATGGTAAATATGAATCACGACAATTGTTATATTGTATTGTATATTATATTGTATATATATAAAAATAAATCTAGGATTTTAATTAAATAATGTATAATGTATATAATGGCATGAATGTATGTTTGTTTATGAATGTATGATGTATGTTTATGAAATCCCTACCGCCAAGCGAGATGCTAATGGTTCCTAACAGAGTAAACTCAGTTACTAAATAATGAATAGGTGTGACATGAGTGTTTGCTATGAGGGGACTCACTGTTGTGCTGTCAAGAGACATTAGCTCTTGGAGAATCCATGCAAGACGAAAGGCTGAAACTGCATAACAATGAATGTTAATGAACATGAAAACACTTAAGAAGGGACAGATTCCAACTATGATATGACATTTAGAAATAGCTCCTAACATAAAGATTCTTCTTTTCAAATGCTTGCAATTCATCTCTTTGCTCAATAGCTTCTTGCTGTGCTCCTATATCGTTTACAATAAATTACCTGAATTACCGATCTTTTCCAGAGGTAAACAAAAGGAAACAACTTCAGTACATTACATAAATCAACCATGATTCATTTAAATGAAAAATACCACATTTGAAGAGTAATTATTTTATTCCGATTGTTGACAAAATTCAACATTGCTATCAAAACAATTTTAGAAATCTATAAAAATCTGTGGTTTATTCCCATCTTTTCTATCTTGAAACTGACTGTGGCAGAAAAACAAAAAGAAAAATTTGTAACATTTAAATTTTTTTTTAAAGCCATGGAGATTTATAATTTTAATTCTTTTTACACAACTTACTGCAAAGCTAAAAATCTTGAATTTAAAATGTCAGTGTTTTTTCATGTTAGGAGGTGAGTAGATGTTTTGCAGTGTGGACCAATGTAGTGGGGGTACATTTTCCCATGAGACTGGGTTGATTTTTGCTAAGAATTCTTCCATAGTTCAGTCATTTAATCTTCTTCTGAGAAGAGAATCAGGTGTAAGTTTGCCATCTACCCTAATGTAATTATTATGCTTCTGACAAAGAAATTCATGTCACACCAGTTCAGGCTGCCAAGAGCTGTCTATCCAGCTTCTATCAGGGTCCTTGCATATCAGTTAGATCCTTCACAGGGTTGTCATTATGAGAGGAGAACAATACAATATTCTTTCTACAGAAAATACTTTGATATGAGCAAGCAATTTAGCATCACTGATAATAAACCCTAGCCTCAGGGGGAGATCGTCTCAGAATAATGGATGAAAACTTGATGAGTCATGACCAGAATGTATTACAATTCTGCACAATTCCATCTGCTCACTGGAAGCTTGTAGTGAATAGAATCTCCATGTGCATACAGCTTGCTCAATACTGCAGTATGAAAACATCAAATTCATGGAAATCCTCTGAGTATTGAAGGGATGAAGCATGCAGACGATGGAAACCTCCTAAACTACCATTAATCCACCATATTCTATTTCAGGTTTGTATCTTTACAGCAAAGATTCAAATAATCTGAAGTTTAGTTCAGCCTCAGTTCCACTGAGAGTCTATTGTTATAAATCAGGGAAAGGCTTGTTTTATAGCCTCAATGAATATTGATTGGTCCTTAGCATTGTTTTGATCTGCTTTAGGTGATGCAAATGCTATGTCAGTATCCCCCTAAGCCCTCAAAGAAGATAATAGACTGATGTGTTTCTATAGTTGAAGCTTCAGGTAATGATGGGAATGTGAGGCTGTTTGAGCCACTTGTGTGCACCCCTCTATGTTCCCCAGCAATTAGCTGCTGTTTTCATGTGTCTGTGCTTGTGTGTGCATGTTTCCATGCCTGTAAGTAATCCACCAAGCACCAGAGATGCTGTTAGCACTCATCTGTTGCCATAACAACCTAGAGTGCTCCCACTGCTAGTGAGGCTGCTTACTGACTGACTGAAGGCTTACTGCTGGTAAGATAACTTAGCGCTGGATGAGCTGAAAGCTAGCTCACTAAAATGACTAATGAACTAAGAACAATTAATCAATTAAGCAGCATCTCAATCTAACACAAATGTATAAAGGAAATACTTTCATACTTTCTGAGAAAAGTCAATGTTTACATTTTGTTAGTGTGCTTTCAAGTACAATCTTCATCTGTTTAGAAATTAAAGAGTGAAAATCTGCATGACGAATCAGTCAGGAGAGGGATCTTTGATGATTTCAAACTATATCGGTAAATAAATAGCTACATAGATAAACTAATACATGAGCAGTCTATCTGTATTGGTGAGAGATCTAAAACAATTTATTGGCAGTGCAATAGCGTTATGTTTACAAGCCTGGCATCTAGCGGTCACATGTTGTATTGCACCTTTTCCCCCACCAGAGGAAAATTATAAGAGACTAGAAAGTAGATTGCCTTTTAAAAAATTAAGACTGATGCAATCTGTGTTTTTTTAGTTCTACTTAAAGTTATTTAAATGAATTCAAATGTTTTTAATTACAACATCTGAACAAACTTTTTTTTTTAACTATGTTCTATTTCTGGTGGTGTTTTTATTCTCTTCTTGGTAATTATGTTTGGCCTGGTGAACACTGGCTAAAGTTGATCTGCTTGACTATATTGTCAACTAGATAAATCCTTTAATGAAAGCACTATTGATATCAACTTTTTACTATTTTCAAAGTACTCCTAGATCAGGGCTTCTGTGTTCTTTTTGTGTGGTTGTTCTGTCTGCTTAAACCACAGTTCATCCTGTTGCAGATTGATGTTCACACTGGGCCTGATTTTGCTGGAGTTTTCTTCCTGTTAAAGTGGAGGTTTTCTCTCCACTGTCACTATATACATGCTTAAAAATAAGAGATAATTGGAAAATCGAAAGCACAATTTAAGTGGCAGTCCACTTAATCACGTAATAATAAAATTTACTTGACTACACACATATAAGCAACATTGGTTAAGAACTTTATAAATAAGCTTATCTGATAGTATTTGATATCCTAGGTTCCAATAAAAAATACATAGAACTGATAGATTAACGAAACCAGAACTTTATTTTTGCAAATTACCATGAAGGATTGCAGCGGGGTAGAATCAGATTTGAGCAAGTTAAATTCAAGTACCAAAATATGTTCAGGGCAAATGCACTGTGTAAACCCATATAGTTCAGATTACTCTAAACCTTTATGGAAATTGATTACTTCAAAGTTTTTGAGGGAAGTTTGAAGTACTTACATGTTTTACATCAAATCCGGTATTTCAAACTTTAATATTCTAACTTACCAAAAAACTTTAAGGCAATTGATTTCCACAAACATTTAGAGCATTCAGAAGTTATTCAGCTTTACATTGTGAGCTCTTTTTAAATTATATCTATTGTGTAAATAGTGTACTTTTAACTCATTTGGTTTGCCACTAATTATTCTACATTTATTTCCTGTGAACTTCTATTCAATTACATTAGTTAATGTTTTTAAATAACGAAAGAAAAAAATGTTTTATATCACAATAGTGTTAATTAGTATACCGTAGATTGAAAGTATTGTGACTTTTTCATATATGACTGAAATGAAAGGAATGATCCAGTAATAGAAATACTGTTGGAGACTTTAGACAAACCACTATTTTCTGTTGGAATCTGCCTAATAAAATATTTTTAAAGGGTTGTTGCAACTAGCACAACTTTTACAAGTGTACAAAATATACCCAGGAGGGTCAAACTGATGCACACGTCTGATATTGCCTTATATTTTTTCTTTCCTCACACATTAGAATTGATGTTTAATGAGTAGTTTTTAAAATGTATTTATTTTAAATATGCTGTCATAAAGAGGGTATATGGTAATCCAGCAACAACACTTCTTAATACTGGCTAAAAAAGTGAGCAGGGATTTATTTAGTTAGTTTTTAACGTTTTATTGAGCTTGGGGTCATATTTGAATGTCCCCTAACTGGAAAGTCAAGTAAACAATTTTGTCTAAAATATTTAACATTTTATACTAACACTGTTAGTTACAGCTTGAACTCATATGTATATTAAATCAAAAGCACAGTTACTATTTTTATATGATAACAACTATTTCATAGCTTAATGGAAAAAATTAGGCATCTAATTCTAGATTATGAACTGATGATCCAGGGGATATAGATTTGGAAGCCTCACAAACTGTTGGGTTGACTTGTTTTATTTTATGGTGTCAGTCACTTGGCTTTAAAATAGAGACCAACATTTAATGAAAACTTTTTCTTTTGTTTCTTTTTAAGTGGTCCTTTATAATTTAAATTAAGTTATATTTTATTGCAATAAGATTACCGGTAAGTGTTTAACTCCAGATAGACAACTTTTGAAATTGAAGTTCATTGACTAAAATAACTGTTAACTGAGTATGTTATCACCACTTTTTTGAAGAATGACTCCCGAAAATGGTAGTCGTGATTTTGATGCATTCCTGATATCAACGTTCTTTTTTCTTTTCTTTTTTTTTTTTTTTTAAACTTCATACCTTTTTTTACATCATTAAAGATGCACGCCGGAACCATCTGACCCGACTACATTTTGATGTTACACAATCTGTTCTTCCTAACCAATCAGAAGCGACGGTTTCGTTACGTAGTTTCGTACATGTGACCAACTGTCATGGCAGCTCCTAGCTGTAAAGTGTAGCTCCCTCTGTCTGTCTTCCTAAACATTTCTGCCTCCTTAAGTTTCTGTAAACATGAGGTATCTCCTCGGACTCTGCCGCTCGTCCGTCCGCCTCCATGTTCGCTCATGTCACCAGAGCATTTATAGCAGACACTCCAACCCATGGAGAGTGGGAGTGGACCTTGGAGAGAAGTGAGTTGACTTTCACTCTTTTTCTCTCTCTATTTGCTAGAACCAAGCTCCATATGACTCTGAAATCGCGGTTCGTTCAGGATAGATGAGGTGAAGCTGTGATTAAGGGACTTTTTCTGCTTTTGATTTTGCAGGAGACTTGAAATCTCTTCTGGGCTGTTGGCCAGATTTGCTGATGGATCTGCTGTAGTGCAGGTAGGAAAGAAAATCCTGAATTTTTCCCATGTTTTCATCTTCATGCACATTTTTTTTTCTTTTTATTAGGTCAGTAAATCTTTTAATATACGAGAATAATCTCACACTGAGATATTTCAACACAACCTATAGTTAAGTTTAATTAATTTAATAGTAAAATAAACCCCTAGTTTTGAAATACTTGCCTTTTTTAACTCCTACCACCATAATAAAAATGAATGTTAGAACTGTAACCATACAATGATATGTTTACATTACTGTTTTTTTCATCAAAATGTTTTTTGTTTTTGTTTTTATCACTGCTGCTCACCTTTATCTAGGCTGCACTTAAAAAAATAAAATAGTCTAGAGAGCTGTTCTTAACTAAATTTTCGTTAGTTTACACTTGTGTGTACAAAATGACAAAATAAAATCTGTGTAAGTCATGATCATAAATATGAATTTATTAAACAGTACTGGATCTGAGACCATGATGATTTTTTTAAAGTGAGCATCTGAGGTGGGTTACGCTTGAAAGAACTAGAAGAAAAGCACCTTATTTCTGTTGATTTTGATGGTGGAACTGTAATGCTGTTGGCCTGTTTCTCTTCCAAAGATTACTGAAACCTTGGAAATATATGAGACCTCATTAAACTGATCACCAGCAGTCAAAGCAGGTCATCATTAGGCATGCCAAGTAGATAATGTTCCATATAACACAGGACCAAATCAAAACAGACCTGGTTCTCCAAATGCAACCAGTAGTCTTCTGTGGTCACCTCTTTTCCTATCTTAAATCTTAGGCCAAAGATCTATCTATCTATCTGTTTATCAAGCAAGTTTTACTTTATATGTGTAACAATTAACAATGACAGTTCATGATCTATAATAAACATTGTTTGTAGAACCTCTCCTCGTCTTTCTTTCAACAAAGTTCCGCAATATATACTATTTATATGACAGTTTCTATCTTAAGTAAGTACAGTCATTCAATGTTACTTTTTAACAACATGCATGAAACAAACAGAATTTTTTGTGCATCCTTTTTTGTCAATATACCTCTTGGAACCGAGGTTCAAGAGATATAAAAAACAAACAAACAGTATTTTAAAGTAGTTATATCTAATAACTATGAAATTCAGTTGCCCAAAAAAGGCGGTGCTGCTGATTTGTCATCTACATTGCTATAAAATCAGCCTGCTGTTTCTCCTAATTTGTGGGTGGAGTGTGGAAATGTTAAAGAGGCATAAATATATATGCAAGATTCTGTTTTTTTTAACTGCTTTGAATGTTTAAGGCTTTTTGTTTTATTCATCTAATTCTAAAGCCTCCTTTAAAAGCAGCTAAGATCAATGAAGCAGGACCAAAAACCCACTGATCGTGTTTTTAGATAATTATGGTGGATAATACCTGAATGTGATGTTTTTGTTCTTTAAGTTCTCATTTTTGTTACTGGAAAATCTTTTAAAAATTGTTTAGAAACTTTAGATAAATTGAGATTGGTTGTCCATGTTTAGACTTTCAGTGTTACATTTTCCTTCTGCAGTTAATAATCGAAGAGAGTTTTGTAACAACGCATACATAACAAGATGTTGTTTTCTAAAATGATTTTTGTTAAATATGGAATCCAAGAAGGCTGCTGTTAATGGAGGGTGTTGATGCTACCTTTTCCTGTATTTTTCCTCTTACCTTCAGCTGGGAGAAACCTCTGTGATGGTGACTGCTGTCAGCAAAACCAAACCTTCACCATCTCAGTTCATGCCACTTGTTGTAAGTTCCTTACCCTGTGTTTGTCATTAAAAATTTTAACGTTTTGAGCTAATGGAGCTCATTCTCAGAAATGCTGCTGTTCTGTTTGGTCGACCTGTATGTGAGTTAAGGTGGATCTAGTTCTGGATTTGTGCTGCTCAGTAATTTCTATGTTTTAAAGGTGGACTACAGACAGAAAGCAGCTGCTGCAGGTCGAATCCCCACCAACTATCTGAGACGAGAGCTTGGCACCACAGACAATGAGATCCTCACCAGCAGACTCATTGGTGAGCTTTATCTAAAGCTTTATTATGTATTGATACTGATGTACATGTCGTTAACCGACTCTTTATCGTTCAGATCGCTCGATCAGACCACTTTTTCCTGCTGGATACTTTTATGACACTCAGGTAAGTTCAGTTTGATCCTGGTTTAACATAATTCCTTTAAAGGTTTGCACCAGTTTTCCAGAAATGACAATATTCCTGCTCCTTTTCATATCTTTTAAAGGTCCTTTGTAACCTGCTTGCAGTTGATGGCGTCAATGATCCAGACGTGCTTGCAATTAATGCAGGTAAAAAAAAAAGAATCTTGTAAAATCCATTGTTTTCAAGTATTACATTTAAAATCTTTCTAATACCCAAATTCCTTTGTTGAAAGCCTCTGCTGCCCTGGCTCTGTCTGACATCCCCTGGCATGGACCCATAGGTGAGGAAACCTGCAGCTGTTTCTGCTCCATTCAGATTTTCAGTTGAATTTCTTTGCTTTTATATTGCAGTCCTCTAAGTGCAACCCTGCTCACATTGGGACTGGTTGTCATTTATACAGAAAGGCTATAATAGCTTTGCTTTTTTGATTCTAGTTAACTTTTATTGTGACCATTTTTTTCTCACTAATTAACTTTATTTAAATTTATTTTTTAGGGTGGTTTTGCTAGTTTTTATCAGTTATTTTTAGTTATTATTATTTTAATTTGGTTTTAGTGTAGTTCTCATTAGGTCTACAACTATTTTTTTCCTGCTTTCATGAGTCTTGTGCTCATGTAATTATTTGTATAAGTAATAAAAACCAACAGATTATAGCTCTTTCTAAGGCCTATAAATAATGAGGGTATATATCAGTTTCAGTTAGTAATATTTTTCACCTTTTAGTTACCGTTTTTATTTATTTCACTTTATTATGTTTTCTCAATTTCTTTTTAGTAATAGATAACTATGATAACCCTGGTTTACAGGTGCTGTAAGAGTGGGAATGGTTAATGGAGAGTTACTGGTTAACCCCACCAGAGCAGAGATGGCATCAAGCAGTCTAAACCTGGTTGTGGCCGGAGCTCCCAGCAGTCAAGTGGGTGAGTAGAAATTGGTCAGTTTAAATGCTGTTTTGTTGAAAAAAAAATCAAATACATTAGATTTTTTTAAATTGTCAAACTTCTGTTATTTTAGGCACAATCTGGTGAAATGAGCTCAGAAGTCAGTCTAGATTTGATCAGATCTGTTTATTTGAGGTATTGCTGAGGACATTTAACTTAGAGTTCAGTTTGTGCTGATTGTGTTTAGTAGTTTTGTAAAGTCCTGCTCCATTCAAGCTGAAAGGAACAGAAACATTTAAATGTAGAGTAAGAACTTTGTCAGGCAGCTACTGTAAACCAGCAATATTTCTGGATATTCTGCCGTTTAGGTTTTTTTTATCTTGCTACAGTGAATCTAATGTTGCTCAAATTTCAGTCAAAAGCTGAAATTAAAAACACACTCTGGAATATTCCTTCAAATTTCTGAAGGTTCTTCAGTTGTTCCTGTCAGACTTTCTTTCATAATCGGCCCTGCTTCCCTCTGTGTGCGATAGTCAGCTTTTGTTTCTGCTCCTACTAGTGATGATCGAGGCGTCTGCTGAGAATGTGCTGCAGCAAGACTTCTGCCATGCAGTGAAGGTTGGAGTTAAACACACCCAGCAGATCATACACGCCATCCAGCAGATGGTGCGGGAACAGAAGGTCACCAAGCGCACTCCTACAAAGATGTTCTCCGTCCCTATAGAGATGGTGGAACATGTCCGGCGGTAAGATCGAAGGTTTAAAGATATAGAGAAGGATTTTGGGGAATTGTTGATGAGACCCTTACTCTCCACAAGCCCATTTCTCCTCCTGCACGCTCTTTACAAGTCGTCTCTGCTAATAACTACAATTAATTACCAATCCCTGAAACTAAGAGGACTAGAGCATTAAAAAAATCATGACATGCTTAAAAAATATGAACATGTTTGAGGGGTGAATAAGGATCTATGGCAAATTACAAAATAAATAAAGTAATCTTACCTGGAAAGATACAATATAAAGGTAGATAACTTTGATGTGAAATGGATTTCTCCACATAGCATGCCAAATTTTACCTGTCAGGTAGAAACTTCACAACCGAGGCATCAGTTGGAAACCCGACCTGTGCTTTCAGTGCACGCCATCGTGGGAAAGGATCTCCCAGAAACACTCTGGTCTTGTTTCTCTCTTCTGAGGCCTTTCTCTTCTTCTCATACACTTCTTTGATACTTTTTCTCTTATGACTCTCAGCCATTAATAAAGAACCGAGGCGAGAAAGGGGAGCTTGAATGGATGAAAACGTAGCTCACTACACATTTACACTTGAAAGTGCGCATGAGCAGAAAAAATATAGCTAGCTGGGGACGAGCATGTTAGACGGCCTTACGTAAACACATCAACAGAAGGATTGACAATTAGAACTATATGCAGGAACATTGGAAGTAAAATACTGCTATTTCTCCTTATTTAATTTCTTCTAAAGGCTTTTACTTATTCAATGAATGTTGATATGATATGAGTTATGAAAAGCAATCAAATTTCCTGTTCATGTACCAAATTTGGGTAATGAAGTTGATCCTGAAAGTTGCATCCGTCTTTTATCAGTGTGTCCAATAATCTGCTTCTGATTCTTTGTTCTAGATTATCATCTGAGAGGATTTATGCAGTTTTTACAGATTACGCACATGATAAGGTACAGTCTGCAGCCTGTTTATGTTTCTGTGTGAAGAAAATCTAAAAAGCAACAGGAGTCTCCTTCCTCTGTTAGATTTCAAGAGATGAAGCGATCAATAAAGTTCGACTAGAAACTGAGGAGGACCTAAAAGGTGATTGGTCTTTTATCTGTTTAGCCACCTTCTTTCTATAATCAATTACCATTAATTCTGCCATCTTACATGTTAATGAACTTCCTCTGCGTTTAGAGAAATTCCCGCAGGCTGAGCCCTTTGAAGTCATTGAATCCTTCAACGCTGTGACTAAAGAGATCTTTCGGGATTTAGTACTTAACGAGTACAGGAGGTAAGTACCGTTTTTATCAGAGAAATATGTTTCATTCAAGCTTTATGAGGCAGGTTTATTGAAAAAAAAATGCTTTTTATTAACTTCAAAGGTGTGATGGGAGGGAGCTGACGGCTTTAAGGAAAATTTCCTGTGATGTTGACCTCTTCAAGCCGCTCCACGGCTCTGCTCTGTTTCAGAGAGGACAAACGCAGGTGTGTGAAAAACATAAAGGTTAAAAAACAGGAATGGACACATTTGGTTCCCCCCTGATAGAGATTTGTAAAATACACTGGCTTAAAATAACACAAAAAAAATGTAGAGAAACCCTTCCCTGACTCTAAGATCTATTCAATAGAGAAAAAAATATGATTAGAAATGATTTTCTTTACTAATTAAAAACCAAATTAACTGAGCTTTTTTGTTTTAAATGTATACTTTGGTTGGAGTTTCTAAACACTTTGGTTATAAATCCCTGGGAAACTATTTATCTGGGGTTTATACAAGATATAGCCCTAGGGACCTTTTCTCCCACCTTTAGCCACTCAGCTTCTTTAGGAGCCATATTTATCTAGTATCTATGAGCATTAAGGAAAATAACTTTAAAGAAAAAAATTTTTAAAACTGCATCAAAGAAATAGCATCCTGGGATGCCCAGTTCTCCATAGCAACCATGACTTGCAGACAATGAAAAGCCTTTTCTGTTCAACCATCACCAACTCTGCTTGATGAGAAAAAAAGACTGAACAGTGTGGCAACAAATACTCCAGGAGGGTCTGGCATCAGGGATGGGTAACATAGACTCAGTATTCTCATAATGATGCAATTATAAAAAATAAAAATAACAAGTAAAATAAATGCAGTAAAATGTATTTTGGCTCTAAGTTAGTCAGAGCTTCATAAACAATAATACTCATCAAGAAATGCAAGTATTATCAAACAAGCTTTTTCAGTGCACCAAGTGAGCAACTGTACCGCTAGGTTTGCTATTATTATAACTAAACATTTATTACAATGTTTTCTTTTTTGCTCTAATTGTGTTTTGGTTTAACTTATACAAATATGAACCTCATTCTACAGTGATTTCAGTCCCAGGGGGAAAATACTTTAGGGGGGGAACCAGGACTCCGGGCGACGCTGCAAATTGTGCAAAGAGAAAATGATCCATGCAAGAGAATAAATGCTCTCCTGTTGGCAGAAATTGTTTTTACAGGCTGTTAACAGCAGTGGTTTGGGTAGTTTTGCTCTGGGGGATGTATCTATCTATTTTATTTCTGAATTAATTTATTTATATTGCTCTGAAATGTTCAATGTTAGATAATGCTGCCCCTATGAGTGATAGACTTAAATTGAAGCATTATGAACATCTTTACCAAGCATTACAACAAATATTTCCACATCTATTTATAAATAAGTTTATTTTTTGTTTCTAATAAATCATCTTTTGTTTTAAAATGGTTAAAATCCAAAAAAAACAAAACATTATTGAAGTGTTTGTTGCATGTTTAAAAAGTGACTAAAAAGATTTTTAAAGAAATTGACTCCTTCTTCTGTACTTCCTGCAGGTGCTGTGCAGCGTTACATTTGACTCCCTGGAGTCCAGCATCAAGACGGACATCATCACTACCGCTCTGAGGTAAAACCTTCATCATCATTAGGGATAGTCCTTAGAAATTAATATTCATATTTTCAAAAAAGCTGGTTTTTGTCTTTATAAAGATGAATTTGTGATTGCTGAAAATAATGGAATACATTAAGTATAAAATCATGCAAAAAAAAAATCAAGTTTCTATTAAAGAGGACCTAAGAAAAAACAGATCTAATTAGGTTTTATTATATTAAAATGGGTTTATTTTATCCTGAAATCAGGAAATATCCCTTTTCCAGGCATGTAAATGTGAGAATAGCTTACTCTGTTATTTATCCAGCTGGTAAAATGAAGCCCTAACAAATTGTCTTTATTTTTTTTCCTTGGCAGTGGCATCAAAGACAAAAATTTCATGCTTCATTATGAGGTGAGTAAAATGCTGTTTTTTTTTTTGGTTTTGTCTGTTTTTTTAAGAAAATTGATTAGCATTTTTCTTTCTTTTCTTGTTCTCTGAGTGATTTTAAAATCGACTCTGTGTCTGATTTCAGTTCCCTCCTTATGCAACGAATGAGACTGGAAAGATGGGAGGGCTCAACAGGAGAGAGCTTGGACATGGTTCGTTTAGACTTAGACTAACTTTATTGTCCTCTTTTGCAGACAACGTGTGTACAAAACGGAATTTTGATGCATACAGCTTTTCAACAGCGAATGAGCAGCTCACAGCAGTGAAATGAACATTTCCATTTTTAAAGTGCAACAGTGATCAGAAGAATAGGTCGCAAATGCGGTAGAAACATTGAGTTGAGTTCTATTTAAAGGGATTTGAAAATTCACCACGTAGTGCAAATATGTTTACAAGTGTGTCTCAATTTGTGACTTGATTAGACGTTCACCGCTGGTCCTTTAGCCCAAACAACACCTTTAATTTTGGACTTTTTTTTAACCTGAATTCATCTAGTCTGAGTTTAAAGTATTTCTGCAGTGGGGTATTTTCTAGTTTTCATCAATTCATATCTGATATGGAGAGATTTCTTTCCTGCCTTGACCATCAAAAATGTTCCAGAGTGATCAGTTGTAAACTGTGAGGAATTATACTTCGATAAAATTCGGTCCATTTCCAGATAGTTTTGGTTTCAGTTGGGCTACTAATCTCTTATATATATCCTTGAGGTTAACTAGCTTAAAAACAAAATAAATGTTTACTGGGTAATTGGGATATATCTGCATTTTAGATACTGTTTTATCTTTCGTTCATGAAAACATTATACTCCAGCCTAAAAAGAGATGGTTTAGTCAAAAAGTATAAATTGGCAACACATTAATATGAATCAGGAAAGGAGTGAAATAACCCAGAGCCTGTATGGCAGAAAGTAGTCGCATTTAACTGCAGTATGTTTGTGTTTGCAGGAGCTTTGGCTGAAAAGGCTCTGAGACCCATCATTCCTAAAGACTTCCCTTTCACCATCCGGGTCACTGCCGAGGTGCTGGAGTCAAACGGTTAGTGGTGTGATGTGTTTAGAGGGTGATATCTGTATTCATTAACCAAATAACTCATAGGTCCATTTTTGCCTTTATGTCCTCTAAGGATCCTCCTCAATGGCTTCAGCATGTGGAGGCAGCCTGGCTCTTATGGATGCAGGTACAAACGTGGAGAAATCTATTTAGTCACAGATGCAATGGTGGAAACAAATGACTAATTTTATCATAGTGTTTTGTTTATATAGCTCAAATGAGCTTCCCCCATAGGCTGGCTGGTCTTAACTGTAGCTTGGAGAGTTGGTCATCAGAGCTCATATACGAGCTACTGCTCCTCTGCATTGAAAAAAGATGGTCTGATACGTTTAGATAAACCTCATTGGCTCCCTTTGCAGGTTTCCTGGTAACCAGATCTTGAAAAAGTGCATAAATGACAAAAACTATACGACTCTATTAAGGAATGAATTTCTAACCAGAAACAGAATTTCCCCATTGTGGGACATTAAAAGGATCTTCTATATGGAAGGCCGCTCAGCTGACAGGAAATATTCTCCTGTCTCAGTTTTTTATCAACTTATTTTTACTTCCTACGGTTAAATTCTTTATAAAACCTCACAGATCTAGAACATCACAGTTTGGTTTATATCCACTTTGGGTCATAAAAACTATAGTTTTTGTTGTTCTTTAAAAGGAAGTCATAAATATTACATCATACATTATATCAATGCTGTGTGTCACTAAATTTATAAAGCAGTGAAAAGCAAAACTTTGCTCTTTAATAACTTCCATAAATGAATCTAGCAAATCTTTGATGGCGTAAAGAAGAAAATCTAAGACAGACAGACTTTATTGTCATCTTGTACACACACAGTGTATACAAAAAAAGATTTTGTTCAGTACAGGATATTTCCATTTTTAAAGTGCAGCAGTGATAAAATGACTGGTATATGATTTACAGTTTTTTTTTTAAACAGGAGCTTAGAAGTCTAATGGCAAAATAAATCCTATTTATTTTAAATGATTAAGTTAATATCAATGATTGTAGAGCTGATTGATGCTTTGTTTCCATTTTACAGTTACCTTTTATGTTGATGTATTGGATTCATGATTCTTTGTGTTTTAACTAAAGCTTTGCGGCATTTAGAGCTAATTATATCCATGTGTGTGTTGTCAGGTGTTCCCATCTCCTCTGCAGTGGCAGGTGTCGCCATCGGTCTCATCTCCAAAGCTAATCCAGACAAACCAACGGAGATCGAAGACTACAGACTGCTGACTGATATTCTGGTAGATGGAGCGTTTTCACATTTCACAGTTTTACTTTTTATTTAGAAGAAAATTATCTTAAAATGGGTTTATATTCCTTGGTAATCATTTCAGAAATGTTTAATATTTGCCATTAATGTTTTCCTCAACAGGGAATAGAGGATTATCTTGGAGACATGGACTTCAAACTGGCAGGAACAAACAAGGGCATCACTGCTTTACAGGTAATGTTTTCAACCTACCATGAGCAGGAAGACTACAACTGCATAATAGGGACAAACTTGTTTATTTCTCATGATTATAAGAATAAACTCATAACAGTAGGTCTAATAAAATAGATTTTAAACTTTACGAGAAAAGAGTTAATAAGGTTTTCTTAGAGTTTTTGAAGATCTTGAGCTTTATTGTTAATAGACGAAGACTGATTTTGTATTAATAAAAGTGCTTCTCTATTCTCATAACAATCAAAATCATTTTCTCGTAATATTTCAGCATAATTCTCATTCTCAGGACTTCTATTCTGGTAATATTTAAATTTTATTGTAACATTACAACCATTAATGTCACAACTTTATTTTCGTAAAACTTTTTTCTAGTAATACAAATTTCAGAATTGTACTAGTTTAATCTTGTAGTATCATTACTATTTTTCTAATGTTAAAAATGTTTTCTTGAAGATCTAATATTGTGACTTTATTCTCAAAATATTGCTTTTATTTTCACTATTTAAAAAATAGACACATCTTTTCGTACTGTGGAAAATTAGTAATTGCTCCTTCTTTTTTAGAAACACATTTCCCATGTTGGGGTTTTATTGCAAATTATGTCTAATGTTAGATTGATTAAAACCTTCAAATAAATAGATAATGCTAATAAATAAGTATAAGAGTCTGAAGTATAAATTCTCGCCACAAAATATTAATTCTGAGTTAAAATCCAATTGCCTTTGACTATGGAAGTTTGCTGTAGATTAATCAGCTGGGTGAGGACAGTGGATATTTTATTGTTCTTACTGTTCTGTATGGATCTGTTGCCATTGCTGCTTGTCAGCTGCTACTAATGTCTAAATGTCTCAATGCTAATTGAAGTTCCTTTTCTTTAACTTCAAGGCTGATGTGAAGATTCCAGGTTTACCTCTAAAGGTAGTCATGGAGGCGATTCAGCAGGCCACAGGTATACCAACTCCTAAAGAGATGACAGATGACTTAACAAATCTGTAAATGTAACTCTGTGTTTTGGACAAATGTGCTTCTGTTTAGTGGCAAAGAGAGAAATCTTGGGCATTATGAACCAATGTATAGCAAAACCCAGAGAGAGGAGAAAAGAAAACGGACCTGTTGTTGGTAGGTTTTGTGTTTTAAGGTTAGAAGAGTCTGTGTGTTTGGAATCTGTGTAGATATGCTTTTTGGATTCTAATAGTTTTTCTTCCTTTTATTCCCTTTCTCAGAAAATGTGCGGGTGCCTGTGTCTAAAAGAGCTCGTTTTGTTGGTCCAGGAGGGTATAACCTTCGTAAGCTTCAAGCACAGACAGGTACTGTTCGAGTAATGAAGCTGTGTCTGCAGAATATATTCAGAGTGCCTTGCAGAAATATTAAATCAATCAATTTTTTTTAGATTCAGAATTTAGTTATACTAGAACAGCAAATTAGATAGCAACTTATTTGGGGTTTATACAATAGAATGCCGTTTGTGTAATTTGCGTAAAAAACGTGACGTAAGTCGTGCTACGCTAGGCTCTGGTGGTGCCTGGAATCGTTAAGATAATCATTAAGCAAGCTGCCAAACGTTGCCATGGAATTGGAACACAGAACCGGTTCTGAACAGGAACCAGTTTTCGATTCCCATCCCTACACTTGATACGAGTAGCATGCTTGTTTTGATCTGTTAGAAAAGAAAATCCAGTGAAAGACAGTGGAATACAAGGGCTAAGAAGAATAGAAAAGGGGATGTTTAATCACTGCAGTCTTTAAGCACTAATTAACAAGGACACATTTTCTTTCTTCCCATCAAGGTGTCACAATAAGTCAGGTGGATGAGGAGACTTTTTCCGTCTTTGCCCCGACACCGGGGGCAATGAACGAAGCCCAAGACTTCATCAAAGAGATCTGCAAAGACGATGTGCGTCCTCGGTTGTTTGTACCACTGATTCTCTGATTGCATTCCTCACATTCCTCAACCTAAATCATCAATATTTTATAAATCTATATCTGAGCTGCGATTCATGCAACAAGTTAATACTGGTGCGTTTTGCTTTTGTTTTCTTTGGCAGCAAGACCATCAGTTGGAGTTTGGGGCTGTTTACACTGCCACAATTACAGAAATAAGGTATGCAAACATCATCACGCATAGTGTTTTTAATAGAAATTAGAAGCAGTGCTGTGTAATTTGGCAAGGCAGCTTTATTTATGCAGCTCATTTAATGCACAAGGCAACTCACTTTGCCCCACAGCAACACCAACAACACAATAAAACTAATTCAATCAACACAAATATATTTTTTTTAAATCAATCAATGGCCATAGGCAACACTGAATAGGCATGTTTTGAAGCTGGACATAGACAGGATTGAGGCTTGTTTTACGTCCTCACTGAGGTTGTTCCAGACCTTGACTGCATCAAACTGAAACGCAGCATCTCCATGTTCGGTGGTGACTAGGGACCACCAGGAGACCCCTCTCAAGGCCTGAGGTGGTATATATGGCTCTAACATTTCACAGATGTAATTTGGTGCTAAACCATGATAAGACTTGTACACAAGTAGAGCTGTTTTAAAGTCTATTCCCTGGGCCACAGGAAGCCAGCGCAGAGACCAGAGCATTGGGCTAATATGGTCGTATTTCCTGGTTATAGTCAGCAATCGAGCAGCAGCATTTTTGAATAAACTGCATCTGCGTCTAACAGCTAATTTGGAAAGGCCAGTGCACAGGCCATTAAAATAGTCTAACCTGCTGGAGACAAATGCGTGGATTAACCTCTCCAAGTCTGGTTTAAACATTATATTTTTCAATTTAGTAATGTTTTTTAGATGGTAATAGGCTGCTAACATAATGGACTTAATATGACTGTTGAAGGTCTGAGTCCATGATTATGCCAAGATTTCTAACTTGGTTTTTAGGTTCAGTCTTAGGATGACCAATGGAAACTTCTCTAGGTTTTTGTTGTCCAAAGACAATTATCTCAGTTTAATCCATATTTAGGTGGAGGGAGTTATTTTGCATCCACACACTGATCTGTGTGATAAAATGGCACAGAGTATCTACTGGTCCACGTTCCCCAGCCGTCAGTGAAACATAGATCTGAGTGTCGTTTATGTAATTGTGATAGGATGCCTTACTAGTGGAATTTAATTGACCTAATGGAAGCATGTACAGATGGAACAAGAGGGGGCCCAGAATCAACCCCTGGGGAACCCCACAGGTCAATGCCATTTGGTCTGAGACATAGTTTCCCATTGCAACATAGTAAGTAATATGCCAAAACAGGCAGCTGATGTGGAAAAATACATCTTTGTGCTAAATGAACTAATTTGACGCACAGATTTAACTGTAGTTGTCTACTGGCAGGCCTTAGATATTCTTAATTTCCTTCTAGCATTGTGAGCTTTTATAGGTACTGGTGGCCTTTTCTTTCTTCTTTAGGGACATTGGTGTCATGGTCAAACTTTATCCCAACATGAGTCCAGTCCTGCTGCACAATTCCCAGTTGGACCACAAACGGGTTAGTACATTTGCTTCTGTTAAAGTTTATTCTCAATCTAAGAAAAGGTTACAGTTTAACTGGTGTCTATCATCCTTGTTATAGATCAAGCATCCAAGTGCTTTAGGACTAGAGGTGGGACAGGAGATACAGGTAGTTTTTCCTTTTATGCTTTGTTTGTTAAAATGAGCTTCATGCTTTTATTCTCCGTTGCTAAGCTGTAATTTGTGCTGTGATCAGGTGAAATACTTTGGACGGGATCCAACAGATGGAAGAATGAGACTCTCTCGGAAGGTGCTCCAGTCTCCTGCTGCCACTGTTGTAAAGACGTTGAGTGAGAAGCAGAGTATCTCCATGGGTTCCAGCAGCATCCACAGGAACGGCAGTGATTCATGACCTGGTGCCACTGCAGGGTTTTTATAGGAAATATGGATTCACACTGTGATGCTGTTCATGTAAAAAAAAAACAGAGCTTCTTTCTGTGAACTCAAAAAAAAGACTGCAGTGTGAAGATGACAGGTGCTGATTTACAAAACAAGCAACCTGGCGACAATCTGCCTCAGAACGAGTCTAAACTTAAAGAGAAGTCTTGCTTCCCTTTTAGAAGATGGTGTCTTTAAAGTGATCTTTTTGTATTTTCTCACTGCATGAAACCATTCAGAGATCTGTTCCCCCTCATCACAGACAAACATCATTTCCACTGTTCACACCTGAGTTACAATAATGGCTCTTCTTGCTTGGGATCTTCATATTTAATATCCAAGTTTCTGATGTGCTCTTAAAGGGTGTTCGGATGAAAACAGTGATGCAACCATGTGGAAGACGTAGCAGAGGCATTTGTCCTGTTATGTTTATAGTTTGTTAGTAATCTGTAAATAAAAAGTTTGCAGGTTCTTTAATAGTACAATATATACTGTGATTTTTTTTATTGTATTTATCTATTGTAAGCTTTTGTTAAGTTTAACAAATACATTTTTTTCTGAAAAAGGAGAAACTGTCTCATAATAAATTGTGCTAAGAAATAAGAAATATTACTAATTAGAATAATCTAATCAAAATGAGTTTACACCTCAAAAAGTATCATATAAAGACATAAACAGAAAAAAAAAATTACTTTCATTATTCTGCACTGGAAGAAGGTTAAAGTGTTGTTTTTTCCATTTATTACAGTCTGGATCAGTCCAAATCCATTCTTTGAAGTCTTTCTTTTGAAAAATATAAATATGAATCTCGATAAGTGTTTCGTGCATGAAAAAGATGTAGGAATTCTGGAAAATGCATCAAATGTACGGACATATTTTTTATGCACCCAAAACTAAAATGTGAACCTAAACCTCTTCTCTAGGTGGCTCTGTTGCCAATTTGTTATTGACCTATAGGTGGCGCCTGGGATTCTCGGTTTTGCTCCGCCCACCTGACGGCAGTTTGATTGACATCTGCGAATATCGGATTACAAGATGGCGGTCTGTAGATGTTAGCGAGGAGGCCGTCAGAGTTGTTGTGCTTTCTTTGCATTTAACTGTTTTATCATCAGGCCTGTTGCTTAGCCCTTTTATATCGTACACGTATTGTGTTTATGAAGTTGGCCCCAAAATACAGGATTGCTGCCGTAAACCGTTATTAGACGCGCGTGTTTCATAACATGCAGGTGAGAAAAAAGTTAACAGGTCGAGGAAAACACTAGACGGGGTGAGCTGGTAGCCTGTTAGCTCCGACTCGGTTAACCATGTCGGACACTCGGCGGCGGGTGAAAGTGTACACCCTAAATGAAGACCGACAGTGGGACGACCGGGGCACTGGACATGTTACGTCCTCGTTTGTGGAACGACTGAAGGGGATGTCGTTGTTAGTTCTAGCCGAATCTGACGGTAAGTTCCTCGTTAGCTTAGCCGCGTTTACATAGCGCTAGCTAGCCTTAGCATGCTAGCCACAGCTTGTTCAGACTCGGGGTTTACAGTAGATGATTAATTGATTTTATAAGTCTGTTGCAATAAAAGCGAACTGACTTTGGGGGTTAAAGTTGGTTATTCCGTTCATTCAAACCAATCTTTGTGTATTTTTTAGATTTCCATTATTTCCTTTTTGTGTAATAGACATCCACATAGTTAGGGGGTGCGCTTCGAAGTCTCGTTGCACACGTAGAAACTTATTATAATAGGCTTCCCGCATTCGCTTGTATACAGATTATTTAAAGTTTTTTAATATTTGATCAACTTATTGAAAATGTTATGTTTTGCACATGTTATTATATTAACAGGCTAGTTGCCTGCTTTTTTTTTTTTTTTACCCGTTCTCTTTTACTTTTTCAGGTTCATTACTGTTGGAGTCGAAGATAAGTCCGAATACCGCATATCAGAAACAACAGGTAAACCCTTTATACTGGGATTGTTATTGTTAGGGCTGCATCTAACGGTTTATTTGCATATCGATTAATCTGTCGATTATTTTTTTGATTAATAATCAAATAGCCAAAGGTCCCTAAGGTGAAACTAAATTTTTTCCACCTGAGGAGTTCTGGATAGAAAATATTGACAAAAGAAAACATTAAATGCAAAATGTTTATATATTTTGTTTTACAACCTTGGTATAATTACTGCTCTAAGTGGATTGCTCTATCAGCTAAAGGTATGTTTTACAGTCTCTATACGCCAGTCAACGATTAATAGTTAACGATTGATTCAATAATCGGTAAATATTGATTAATCCAATTCATTCTTTCAGCCCTAGTTATTGTGTATAAAAAAAAAACGTACCATGTTAATTATCATTTTTAAAAACCATAAATAAATGTGAATTTGTTATGGATCTGAGTCAAACAATTTTTTCCTGTTTTCAAGGCTGCACTTAAAAAAAAATGAAATTGTCTAGAGAGCTGTTCTTAATGAAATTTTTGTTTACATTTGTGTATACGAAATGACAAAATAAATCTTTCTAAGTCTAAACTGGATATTTCTTTCTCTTGCTTCTAGGACACGCTGATTGTCTGGTCAGAAGCAGATAATTATGACCTTGCCTTGAGTTTCCAGGAAAAAGCAGGCTGTGATGAGATCTGGGAGAGGATTTGTCAGGTATTATTTTTTTTTTTATACAAAGAACTGATTGTTGCCTTTGTGTTCTGTGACAATTTATCATTATTTTCTCCTTTATTGTTACTGCTGTGAATCTGTAGATGTTCTTTCTATTCTATCCTAACCAGCCATGCAGTCTTAAGCCATACCTATTTTAATTAACTTCTGTAGGAATGCACTTCAGCACCAGTTTTTCTTCATTTGTATATATTTTAATTAAATATTGAGAGAGTTTATGGGAGTGGTGGCCTAGTGGTTAGGGTCCCTTAACTCCACACTGCTCCCTGGGCGCCACACAATGTCAACTAGAGATGTCCCGATCCAGGTTTTTGCACTTCCGATCCGATACCGATATTGTTTTTGGACTTCCGATCCGATACCGATACTGGCCGATACCAGCCTATCCGAGCATGTATTTAAGTTTAAGTTAAAGTATTTAGCCTTAGTTGTAAGACTCATGTTGAAAAGGGTTTTAGTACTCTTGATAACATCTAGCCAGCTAAATTAGGTGAGATTGAATAAAACACAATGCTTGGTAACAACAAACTTACCTGTTTATTAAGAGATAAAAACAAACTGGACAAAATTATGAATAGCAATCTGAAATTGCACAGTGAACAGTAAAACCGTAAACAGTTAAAGGTGCAAGTATTACTGTAAGTTTTAATAAAAATGCAAAACAGGGAAACACTGGCGCAAAATAGTGGAATGGATCGTTTCAATCGGCGAAACTGGAAAATACGGACCGGATTTTTTTTTTAAACTGGATCGGCAGTCTGGATCGGCATTTTACATGCTTTGCCGATACGCATTTTTTTGCCAATATCGGCGAAGCCTAATGTCAACCCGTTGCTTCTCAAGGGGATGGGTTAAATACACAGTCAATTTTGTTGCTCTGTACTTGTGACAGTGTAATGACAATGAAAAGCTGGGCAAAGCTGGGGATTTATTATTAAATACATGTCTTAGCTGCTAAATAAGATGGTGGTTTTTTTTAATTCGTGATCAGAACCCCATTTTTGTATTGAAATTGCCATAGTGCAGATAATGATACATCATGGATAATCAACACTACCTCAAGTTGCTAACTGTGAAGATGCTTTCATTTTATTGATTTGTGTAGTTACAGCCAAACATTTCTTACTTAGGTTCAAGGTAAGGACCCTGCTATGGACATCACTCAGGACCCCATCGACGAGTCGGAGGAAGACCACTTTGAAGAGATTCCAGAGACCACCCACCTGGTCGAGCTCCCGCCTTGTGAATTAGGTCGGCTTGAAGAAATTGCAGATCTGGTGACTTCTGTCTTGTCCTCGCCCATTCGGAGGGAAAAACTTGCCCTGGCGCTGATGAACGAGGGATACATCAAGAAACTGCTGGGTCTCTTCAGAGTTTGTGAGGACCTGGACAACCGAGAAGGCCTTCATCACCTCTATGAGATTGTGCGAGGCATCTTGTTCCTCAACAAAGCAGCCCTGTTTGAGGTCATGTTCTCTGACGACTGTATCATGGATGTGGTGGGCTGCCTCGAATACGATCCAGCTCTGGTTCAGCCAAAACGTCACAGAGAGTTTCTGACCAAGACAGCAAAGTTCAAGGAGGTGATTCCCATCACAGACTCAGAGTTGCGACAGAAAATCCACCAGACCTACAGAGTTCAGTACATCCAGGACATAATCCTGCCCACACCCTCAGTCTTTGAAGAAAACTTCCTGTCCACACTCACATCCTTCATCTTCTACAACAAAGTGGAAATTGTCAGTATGTTGCAGGTAAGAACCCAAACAGGTTTACTTACAGTGTAAGGAAAAGTGATAAGTTGATGTATTTTGAAAAAGTTTCTAATTTATGATGATTTTTGCTATTTTTGTATCCAATCTTTACAGTCCAGTGTACTATTAACAATGAATGTTATGCTGTCCTGCTGTGACCTTATTAAATATGGCACCCTTCCGTTTTTCCTAATAAAAAAAAACCCATCCTGCAAGGTAAATGACTGATAGAAATTCCCTCTTAAGTGGGAACACATTTTATGACAATATTTAAAGAAAATACATGGATTCCTTCAATGTATACAGAGTTATATGGCTGTAACAACTATATATTTATCTTTCAAGTAATAATTTGTGTGTCAAAAGTGCTCTCTAGCTAGAGATCAAACAAAGTGATTTAGAAAACATGGAGTGAATTGGTCAGGATGCATTTTAAGCTTCGGGGTTCTTAGGTGATCTGTTGCAGTAATTTGTATTGCACAACTTTTTATGTTACCGACATTCTTAAAGTGTTTGTGTATTCTCTGTGTTTCAAGTCTAATCTGTTCAGATTATATACATATTTTAAGGGCATCTCTGTTTTGATCAAATGTTTTTAGTACCTGCCTGTCTTATTTGGCTTAAAATTAAAATATATTAATATAACATTCCTGGTGTTTGTTTTGAAACAAAGTCTTACGTATTGGGGAGTAATTGTCAGAAAAAATCAAAGGTAAAGCGAAGGAGCAAAGTGACATTAAAGAAGTGATGGGAGTATAAATTCTCTGTTAGTCTTTTCCAACAGTTCTTATACAGGTGATTGGAAACATTTCTAGAGGTAATCATCATGGTAAGCGCCAATAAATGTCAGGATTGGGTTTTTATTTTATTTTAGTTTGAATCTATCTCAAAGTTGTCTTTATCTTGTTTTCTCCATTTCTAAAATGTTTTCTGATGTTGTCGCAGGAGGATGAGAAGTTCCTCACTGAGGTCTTTGCACAGCTGACAGATGAAGCCACAGAAGAAAGTAAAAGACGGGAATTGGTAAGTCAGTAAAACTCAAAATGTAACGGCTCTTTTATTTTAAATTATTGTTGAAATGTGCTTTAACTTGCTTTTTTCTCCTTTTACTCTGCAGGTGAATTTTGTTAAGGAATTCTGTGCTTTTTCCCAAACATTGCAGCCACAAAACAGGGATGCTTTCTATAAAACTTTGGCAAATCTCGGGATTTTACCTGCTCTTGAAATAGTGATGGTACGTTGTTGGCGCTTCTATGAATGTGATTAAAATCTTATGATCAGTTTGTCCAAACATTGGAAGAATGAAAACTCCTAGGCTACACATGGCATGATCTTTGCTTTAATCAAATAATTTCTTTTAAATAAATATTTTTTAGCTGTATGGATGTTAGAAACCTCAAAATTAGAATCATCATAAAACCAACTTAAGACTTTAAATACAGCGGTGTTTACTGGGCGTCCATTTCTAAACGGAATGGACAAATTACGTTAATCTGAAAATCTTACATACTCTGTCACTTAATAATTTTAGAATCTTGCTGTGTGAAATAGCCTTTAATAAGAATGATCATGCCTGATCAAGCAGCTTCCTGTTGATGAATAATTATGCATTCAGGTTACCAAACATCCAAAAAGGCAAAGATTAGATAAACCCACTAAGGTGACTTCCCTTTATTCTGCTATTCTGCTGATGAATCATTTAAAACTGGAAATGATGCATTTTTTTGTATTTCTTCTAAAACATCTTTTCTAATCTCTTTGATTTTCTGTAGGGAATGGATGACTTGCAGGTGCGAGCAGCGGCTATCGACATATTCTCTTACCTGGTGGAATTCAGCCCATCGATGGTCAGGGAGTTTGTCATGCAGGAACCGCAGCAAACGGAAGATGTGAGCATTGGTTTACAGAACTGTTCTAGTTCTGGATATTTACTCCCCAGTCTGTGATCTTTAGTGTGGAATAATGTAAATAATGTAGCTTTATGCTCAAGATTTAAAGTGTAAGTTAACACAAGTCCTGTTTTTGAAACCATTTATCCAGTTAGATCCCTTTTATTTATTTATATATATATATATGCACACACAAATTTATGAGTTTTCGAATAGATGTGTCTGTTAATGGTTGTCTGGTTTTTATGCATCTCTTTCAGGATGTTCTCCTGATCAATGTTGTGATCAAGCAGATGATTTGTGACTCTGATCCAGAGTTAGGGGGCGCTGTCCAATTGATGGGTTTGCTCAGGACACTCATTGACCCTGAAAACATGCTGGCCTCCACCAATGTGAGTAAAAACCAGTTACAATTAAGCCAGTTCCCATACAAAACCACCACTTTTTTCTTTATTTCCTGCTTGTTTGTTTAATCCTCACATTTTGTGTGGGTCCAGGGATACAGACATTGATGAATGGAGCCTTGTTTTTAAGTTCAGAGCCTTGTAAAAGTAATCACAAACCTTTTCACATTTTATCACTTTGCCTTATGCCTGTAACAATTAATATTAATGCGACTTAACTAGGACTGCATGGAATACGGGAAAACCTGCAGTAACACAATAACAGTGCCTTACGTGATAATTTCTTGCAATATATGAATAAATATTTACAGTGCACCTGAAAAGCTTTCACTGTGCTTCACTTTTTCAACATTTTAAGAGTAGCCTCATTCCAGATTGTATAAAATGAATCTTTCCTGTGAAGTGCTCTTAATACCTTACAGATCCAATCTTAGTTTACATATTGATGTCTTTCCGCTCTGCATTTATAGCAAAAAAAAAAAGCCCCAAAACATTCCTAGGACATGTTTGACAAATCTGTGGAATAATGACTTGGGATAAGATGTGATGTGGGTTAGTTTTATTCATTTATTTTTTAAACTAGACGGATGAAGTCTTCTCAGCACACTGTATTCCTGGCCATCAGGCCCTTAGTGTGGTGCAGCTGTTGGATGCATAGCTTCATATTGGATAACTGGTGGGGAAGAAACGGCACTAGACTAGAGCTAGATCATCCTTTTCTCCATTTAAACCCACTGCAGAAAGTTTGGGAAATGTGGGAATATATCATTAGAAATTTGGGAAATTGGTGCCCTAAACTATAAAGGTAAAAACTACAGGGTGCATAGAGTCTGCTTGACTTCTGGTATAAGCACTGCTTAAAACTTTGATTGTGCTAGGACTTGTTGTTTCAGGTTCTCCAAAAGACAGGTTTTTTCCAACCATGAGTCCTTCATCATTTACTTTACATCCACTTTTCTATCTCTCTGCTCATTAAAGCTTCATAATGGGTGTTTGCTATCCACCCGAAGCGGGCAGGCATCTAATGTATACAGATCTGTCTGATTGCCTAAATACATGAAGGTTTTCGATTGATTGGTGCTTCACAGAACATAAATCGTAAATGTGGCTAAGGAGAAAAAGAATCAGACACTAAAAGATGCCGACGTGAAGGTTTGTCTTCTTACAGGACAAACTGAAATCAGAGCTGCAATAAATGCATTAAGGTTCAAAAATATGTTAGAATGGCCTAGTCAAAGCTCAAACATAAATCCATTAGAGAATGTGTGCAAAGCTACAGTTTTAAAGTTCTTCTAAACCTCAAACTATTCATTTCTTCTCCTTTTCAGTTATGCTTTGCATTTGGGTTTATTATGACGATATAAAATCTCTAGTCTATTGTATTTTTTAATAATGAGACAAAACTAACATTACTAGGGCACTGAATGACTAAACTTTGTACAGTTTTAAACTGATGCACTTTAACCTAATTTCTTCCAGAAAACCGAGAAGACAGAATTCCTGGGTTTCTTTTACAAGTACTGTATGCACGTCCTGACCGCTCCTCTTCTGGCCAATACTGCGCATGACAAGAACTCGAAAGGTAAACTAGACACATAGAAGCACCGTATTTCTGACTGTAAGATGTTTGATACTCACTGCTGTGGCCTTTCAGATCATCCAGAAGGATCTGCAAAGATGAATCCAGTTTGTCCAGGTGGGTTCTGATGGATTTTATTAATCTAACTTGACTTATTTAATGTTTGAATTGTTTTGATCAGAGGCATTTTTTTTTTTTTGTGTGTGTGTAGACAACTTTCAAACAGCTCAGCTGCTCGCACTGATCCTGGAGCTTCTCACGTTCTGTGTGGAGCACCATACCTACCATATCAAGACCTATATTATGAACAAAGACCTGCTCAGGAGAGTTCTGGTGCTCATGAATTCCAAACATACCTTCCTTGCTCTTTGTAAGTCCCAATTTACAAACCTATTAAGACGTCCTTCCCCAAAATCGTACAGCAATGGTTGACTTCCATTTCATTTGCATCTAACACTGCATTAAAACTGACTTTTTCTTTGGCCAAAGGCGCGTTGCGTTTCATGCGCAGAATCATTGGTCTAAAAGACGAGTATTACAACCGCTACATCATCAAAGGGAACCTGTTTGAGCCCGTCATAAATGCCCTGCTGGACAACGGCACCCGATACAACCTCCTCAACTCGGCCATCATCGAACTCTTTGAGTTCATCAAAGTGGTGCGTCAACGTGAAATCCAAACCTCGGTAAAAAACCGTTAGCCTTTCTGAAAAGTTAATTGTTCTCCTTTTCTTCCCAGGAGGACATCAAATCTCTCATAGCTCACATTGTGGATAATTTCTACAAAGCACTTGAATCCATCGAGTATGTTCAGACGTTTAAGGGCCTGAAAGGTCGATACGAGCAGGAAAAAGACAGGCAGAGTCAAAAACTCAACAGGTGAGTGAAGTAACGGGAATATTTTCCTGGATGGTTTCCTGAGAGGGATGGTTTGGGAGCTGGAAGGTTCTAAAAATCCACATTTCTGTAGGCTTTTTTAAAGAACACTTCTGAAATGGCCTGGCAGCAAAACTATAGATCCTATTTTAAAGTGTTAAGGGGGATGAAATAAATGACTTACTAACAGCTGGAATGAGGATCATCATAGTGAAGTGATTCGGATCAGTTTAAAGTTCTGTATAAGCAAAATGGTGCTTTTTACATCATGTTTCAAATTTGTTCTTATAAGATATCGCAGAGACGCACGGCCGTTGGACGAGGATGAGGAGTTGTGGTTCAACGATGACGACGAAGATGACGAGGGAGAGACTGTGGAGAGGAGGATGGACGAAGACTTCTCTGACAGCTATGAGAAGTTCATGGAAGCCAAAAAGGGTAAGCTGCGCCGCTCTGAATGTATTCAGCTTCCTGGAAACGTTTGATTCAACTCCTGAATCTAAACATGGCTGCCGTCTGTTACCGTAGGAGCCGCCAACGGAGCCAACAACGCCAAGTCTGCCGCTGTACCACCTGCCTCACCAGCCGTCACTTCGAACAGTTCATCTTCCTCTGTCAAAACAGTTGTTCTTCCTGCCACTCCTGTTGCTAAGGTAACCCATGTCCATAAGTGTGGATTTAAACCATTTAACCATGAAAACCATTTAAAATAATTGTGTAAATTCTTCCCCCCTCTCTTTTTCATTTAGACTGCTCTTGTTGGTTTGGTGGACTACCCTGATGATGAGGATGAAGAGGAAGAAGAAGAAGAGGAGGAGGTGGAGGAGTCTCCAAGAAAGCGACCCCGTCTGAGCTCTTAAGGCTAATAATAGTCCTCTCTGGTTTGGCCATGGTGGGCGGACGTCACGTCCCTCCCACTTCCTTCTCCCCCGGCTTTCTCAGCCTGCCGGTGCCGCCCTTTGGTCCTTCTGAGGTGTTGCACCAAATGAGATGAGCCACCCGCCTTTCTCAGTACTGAACTCTGCTCCTTGCTCCCTCTCTGGAAGGAGGTGGAGAGCTTCTCTGGAAAGACAGATTGCAGTCTGTTTCTGTAGACTGAGTTTCAGTTTATTTTTTTTTTAATTAAAAACAATCCAGTCAGGAAATCCAAATCTCTCTTCTCTAAAGGAACCATCCTTGCTTTTCACTTGTTTTCCTCCACTTTTCCTTCAGCGTTCAGCTGTCAAACAAGCCTTGGTTTAGTCCTATCCTCCTTTTTTTTCCTCTGTATTTCTGTCGCTGCAAAAGCCAGGAAGCTTCAGCACAACAACAGTCTTTGACATCCATCACCGAACCAAACCGAAGAGACGGCAGAAAACTAAACCCAGCCAGCCAGCACCAACTGTTCAGCTGGCCGTCCAGGCTAGCAGGACTAGCCCTGAGAGCTCGGCTGGCTGGAGCAGATTGTTTCAGATTCAGGGCAGCATAGAAATGTTAAATGAAGGGGGGGAGGTGACGAAGCGAAATGTGGATGAACACTCAGCTGTGATGCTGCTGAGCTCCAGTAGAGCAGGACTCAAACGTTAAAAGCCATGGCATCAGAATACAAACACAATGTTTTGCGGGGCTGTGTTAGCCAGGAGTCCTACATTTCACAAGTCTGTTGAAATACTGTATATATGTTTCTCTTTCTACCCATATTTCCACAATGTGGTTTTAAAAAGAGGGAGATGCCCACCTGCCTTTTTTCTTTTTATTTTGTCATAACAGAAAAAGGTGGGGATCACTGTTCACCCTTCCGTTTGAGTCAGTATAAACTTCTGAAAAGGTTAAATGTCAGGTAAAAAAAAAAAAAATCAATATTCGTACTGCAGCAATGTCACTTTTGAAGACACCATTTGGAGGATGTTAGGATTTTCTTCAGTTTGGGTTTGGTGGCCTTTCTGTAATCCAGAGCCAAACATTCTGCTCTGGTTTCATTTGACCTAAGCTCCACCTTTCTTAAGGCTGAGTAACTCGCCGTTCACACAGATCACAGGTGCAGAATTCCCCACTTCATTGGAGCTGAAAGTCTTTCATATCCATACCAGCTGATATTCCTGAACACATTTTGCTCCATATTTGCTTTATTTTAAAACTGCAGTGAAATAAGTTGAAGGAAAAATTTTGATGCAATGCAAGTATGAATGGATGAGCTTCTTTTCATCTGATTGCGACATGATTTGGCCCTTATGGTTGAGGCGGTGTAGATTTTAAATTTACTTTGTTTTACTCAGTCAAAACGCACAGAGTCAGATGAAGGGATTGAAAACATGAGTACGAGGATAAAGGCAGTGTGGCTGGAACGTCTAAGATGCCAATGTGCTTGTCTGGAGCTGAGCAGCTTTGCTCCTTTCTGTCAGCATCACCCAGCAGTGACCATTTCTGCTCTCAACTTGTACCAAGTGCATTTAGTACCACTGTCCATTCTTAACATTTGTATGAATTTATTTGATAAGTTTTGAAATTAAATGTGATCCTGACATCGAACTTTTGAAATTTGATGGTTTCATTCTTTTTTTGGTTGTTGGTATGATCTGCGTATCTGGATGTAAATAGATGCTAATTTGTGATTTAACAGGTGACACCTTTCTACAAGCTTACAACAGATTAACAAGCCACAGCCTGACCTGCACCGTCATTTTAAAGCCTGGAGTTTGTGTTTCTACAAAATGTGATTTATTAAAACAGCATTACATAAACATGCATACACAAACATAAATGCTTATAGGGAAAACTGCTGGTTGCTTTGTGGACGAATACTGCATTATGTAAAGCAACACGTCCCCCTAGTTGGCCCCTTTAGGAATATGTGATTAGTGTTAATCCCTTGAACTCTACTAAGATAAAGATCAACCGTGTGAACAGAAGATGCTTGCCAATGGAAACTTTTGAAAAGCAGAACATGCAAAACCTAGCACCAGCATAAACAAAGCTGTTATCACAGGTTTAGTTTTCAGTGCTTATAAATATTCCATAACTTCTATTACTGCTGCAAAAGGGATTTAAGAGCATTTTGGGGTGCATCATAAACATTTTAGTTAAAAAGATGAAAATTAGACTTCATTCATGATGACTGGATGCTAATTTGACTGGTTGCAGATACCCTGCAGCACTGCCATGTTTCTTCAAGAACAATACATGATCATTTGGATTTCCTACGCTATCAAAAGAAAACAATTATCTTTATATCACTTACTGAACCTGGATGAGATTCACTTTTTGAGTTGAGTTCCTGAAATAAGTACCATAATGGTCTGAATTAGGAAGATGTAGCTGTGATTTATCACTATATGGGGCAACAACACCCATTTTTACTAACATCCCCATAGTGATGTCTTAATTTGCTTCTTCTGATTGTAAACGGATAATTTTTGAGCCGCAACACTTAAAATGTAATAACCTAATCTAAAAGTCTGTATCCAACATAATCACAAGTAGAAAAAAAAAATGGATGGATATTCAAGAAAGGTCAGTATTTCTATAGGAAGAAAAACTGATCATGAGTTACTTGGTGCAGCCCTGGAGATATTTACAAGCTACTTTACAAACCATGAACACAGATTTGAATGCATTATGACATTTTAGGATAAATAAACTTAAGCATCCTCAAATGGGAACTGGATTCCAACGTGGTGAGAAAATGAATGCACTACATCCAGAACTAGGGAGTGATTTTTGACCAATCATTGAGCAGGATACAGATACACTCTTAATTTAGTTGGCTTGATATCTTCAAATTTCTTCAGTCAACCTGAAGTTTAGGGCTGTTTACCCAAAACCCAAAATAAAACGCACCACTTTGGACGGCATGAAAAAATAGTCGATTTAGCTACCTTTCGGTCTTATGAAAATAAAAACAAAAAAGGTTTTATATACAGTGAATTACAAGTGAGTACAAAGCATGACATGTTCAGATCTGAGAAGAGACAGGATAACTTATTGCGTACAGAGTCGGAGTTATTTCTTGACTACTTCCTCCTTCAGTTTGTCGGCCAGGTGCTTTCTCTTCTGGAGTTTCTTCTTCTCCTCTGCAGATTTTTCCTGTATGAAGCGATCACAGGTTAACCATGCTAAGCAACAGCTGAAAAAGCTGAAATGTTATCAGCGTTAATTTTAATAAATGTTAATAAATGACCTGGTATAACCTCTATGTGTCTAAGAGAGTTATGTGTGGGACAAAAGGCAAAACACACACAAAAAACAACCAACACTAGAAAAACACAGAGTACAGCTCCCAAAAGTATCCACACCTATTGAACTTTCTCACATTATTGTAGATTCCAACTTTACAGTAGGAGCCATTCAAAATGTCCCCCCTCTCCTTGGTGGGTCCCCTGAGATTCCTTTTTTAACATCTATCTTTGTACTAAAATATTCTTTCTGTCATGATTTGTGGGCATTAGGATCTAAAGAGAAGCACCTTCTCCTGGTCAGACCCTCTAATTCACTAAAAGGGTGGAGTCAGAGTTAAAAAATATGCACACCCAGAAGAAGGAGGGGTCTTGCCAGTGGCTATAGTGTGCTGCCATTCAGCTGCCGTTTGACTGGGAAGGGCCACTTTGAATGGCTGTGACTGTAACTGATATGAAAAGAAAAGACATTATTACAACATTATTTTTCAATTTTGTTAATCCAAACTTGAAAAACTTAACATATGCATTCAGCTCAAACCAAAGCATCTCTCTGATGCAACTACAGCTGCAAGTCTACGTATTTTAGTTTTTAGCTACTTTGCAATGTAACTCTTTGCTCTAATGCTCTGTTGGATTCAGGTCTGGACTTTGACTAGGCCGCTCTCACAAATAAATATGCTTGGATCTAAACCCTTCCATGGCATAGGATATTGTTCAATAAAAACATCTTTAAAGGAATAGTACACCCAAAACATGATTAGCCTTCATTTTCTACTCACCCCCATGCTGAACAACACTCTGGAGTACTTTTTTGATATCTCAAATGCATCTGGAGATCTGGGAGGCTTCTTGCTGTCTGCTGACATTCAAATAATGGAGGTCTACGGTGCCAGAGACAGAGGTCCATAAAAGTCCACAAAAACGTGTCAATATTCCTCCATACTGCTCGTCCAATGTATTCCAAGTGTCCTGAGTGAGTAGCATCCAGAATTTACTCGAAACGAAGTCATTTAGAATGTTTTTAGAGCATAAACAGTAGTGTATAGGATTTCCTGAAAGCGCGCGCCAGCGCATTCAGGACGCTACGGAAGCCGGCAGACCAAACCAGATGAAAGTGCGCATTCAGCGTCTGCTCTGCCAATAATGCAAGCGTAGAAGAAGAAATGTGCTGTTTACCTGTGCAAAGAAAGAAACAACGAAAGAAAAATGTCTGAGGACTTCAGTGTTGAGGAAGAGCATGAGTTCTTTGCCGAGCTGAATGCGCACTTTCATCTGGTTTGGTCTGCCGCGGTTTCCGTAGACTCGTGAACGCGCTTTTAGGAAATCCTATACACTACTGTTTATGCTCTAAAAACATTCTAAATGACTTCGTTTCGAGTAAATTCTGGATGCTACCCACTCAGGACACTTGGAATACATTGGACGAGCAGTATGGAGGAATATTGACACGTTTTTTGTGGACTTTTATGGACCTTTCTGTCTCGGACACCATAGACCTCCATTATTTGAATGTCAGCAGACAGCAAGAAGCCTCCCAGATCTCCAGATGCATTTGAGATATCAAAAAAGTACTCCAGAGTGTTGTTCAGCATGGGGGTGAGTAGAAAATGAAGGCTAATCATGTTTTGGGTGTACTATTCCTTTAAGCTTCACTTTAAATCTCTACAGCTTCCTCCCTAACCTGTTTGCTGTTTTCCTAATGCCCCCCGTTCGTTAATGACCGGGTGTATCACATGTGGCTGAGTACAAATACACTTCTTAATTATCAGATTTCTGTTTGTGACAATAATGTCTAGCAAAAGAAAGTTTGGAGGTGTGAAAACGTTTTGCATGGCACTGCAAGTGTTCACATCAGGGTGCTCATTGGATCACCTGTTTGGTAGAGTTGGGAGCGTGTTGTGTTGGAGAAATGGAAGCAGGAAGAGGGGAGCTGTCCCCATTCATCTGGGGCTGTCCCACTCCCTCCTGAGAGGCCAGACCGGATAACATCAGACACAAGAAGAAGAACAATGAACAAAAAAAACAAAACAAAAAACATCTGGGGTACATGAGGAAATCCAGAGCGAAGCCATTTAAAATCGATGAAATGGGAAATTTAAAAAAATGTATAAATTATGTGGAGGATCCTAAATTTATCAGGCACCAATTCAGAGCCACTGGACTATGGAGTAAAGAGATTACAAATTAGGGAGGAAATCTACTAAAGGTGAAATTCTTTTTGGGGGAGAAAGAAGGACAGAAACAGGCTGCACTTACCAAATTGGTGGCGGGTTCTAGTGGAGGAGTGTATGATGGCTCCTCTGGTTCAGCCGCCTGTCTACTTTTCTGCTTTTCTCTTTTCAGGGCATGAAGCTTGTCTCTCTGCTGACGCAAATACGCTGCCCTTTGCTGGAGCTGCTCCTGCTGTGACGGTGACAGCTCCTGCAAACAAGTAAACACAAAAAAAACCCAGGAAATGAATGCAACCCTTTAATGAAATGGATATAGAGAATATTAACCAAAGCAGAATGTCCCATTTTAATACTTCCTCAAAATGTTTGGATAAAATATCTCTATATCCTGCAGAAATTCATCTATCAGTAAGACAGGCATCATCGTCGTGGGATTCCATGTTTGAATGAAAATCTGTTGAATTTCCTTTCTCAGCTCTACCAACCTGAAATGGTTCTAGAAACTTTTGATCTATGCTATCATCAGAGTAAACAGATGGGATGAAGGCGGTTAAAGCCTTACAAATGTTTAGACTCACAGTGTATGGCTTAGAGAATCCAGCTTCTCTGTGTGCCTCCTCCAGGTAGGCCTCTGCTGCAGCCTCCGTGCTGCTGCTCTGCTCCTCTGCTTGATGCCTGTTCGCATCAGAGGACTCACTGGATTTAGTCGGAGCTCTAACAGCTGGAAGAAGATTGGGTTGAACGCTGCTACCTGCACACATGAAAAAACAACCAATGGCTTTTATGTTTTTTTTTTTTTTATATCTTCTGAAATATAACAATATTAATATGTTCTCTTTTGGGGAATTTGACTTTGATGTTCTGGTACCTGTGAACAGATATCCCAGTGCAGGATGACTGGACTGCATTCTACAATTCCTCTTTATTTCTGTTTCTGAGGAAGCCCAGCAGTAAAGACAGGCTTTTTCAGCTAACTTCATTGCCTACTGTTAAAACCAGGGTGAGAATAAGCCAGAGTGGTCCGTTACTTCATACCAGTAAAACATTTAGGGTAGTACTCAGCTCCAGGAAGAGCTGCTGGCTACTATTTTGTGCCAAGAAGGGCACAGATACAAACTCGATGAGACAAATGCGCAACAGTTAAATTTCCCACACGTCTGCGCTTGCCTCTAACCTCAATTCGCTCAGCGGC